CCCAGCCCAACCGGTAACGACCCCCCCCTTCCAGTGCAACAGAAACATGCGCGCGCACGTCTATAGTTTAAGCGTTTTCCCACATCCATTTTTTCTGGACACCCCGCGCAAGAACAGGATGGAAGGATCCCCCTCTTTTCTCACTCATGCACACACACACTCACATCATCATCGCAACATCAGTATCAGTTACACACTCACCCAAATTCACTCGACCACTAACATATACCCGCTCACACTCACTTACTTATCCAGAGTGGTTAACTCACTCACTCACTCACACTTACTACTCATCACTCATCATCATCCGGATCACAACACCACCGTCACCATCGTCATTGTCGCACACACACACACTCACCCACACACCCACACACTGAGCTTGACGAGGTCTCAGGCGGGAGCCTCGTCTGTGAGTGAAAAGCGAGGAAGTCTCAAGTGGACCCCCTTCCTTATGGGGCCCGCCGCTCAAGCTTTTAATACGAGCAAGGCATCGGCCTCCTGTAACTGTCGTTACCTTCGGGCCCCTGAGGCCTGGATCTGGAGGAACAGGCGGGGGCCTCGTCTGTTGAGTGAATTGCAAAGAATTCTCAGGCGGGAGCCCCGTCTCTATGGGGCCCGCCGCTCATGTTTTCAATCCGAACGGGTCATCGGGATCTTGTAAGTGTTGTCACTGTTGGGCCCGTAAGGCCTGAACAGGGAAGAAATATCAGGCGGAAGCCTCGTTTGTGAGTGAATTGCAACGACATCTCAGGCGGGAGCCCTCTCCCTATGGGGTCCAGAGCTCATGTTTTTAATCGGAGCGGGGCATCGGCCTCCTGTACTTGTCGTCATGTTTGGGACCTGGAGGCCTGAATATGGAGGGAATATCAGGCGGGAGCCTCCTCAGTGAACGAATCGCAAAAAAGTCTCAGGCGGGAGCCGGGGCCCGCAGCTCATGTTTTTAATCCGAGCGGGTCATCGGGATCCTGTAGGTGTCGTCACTTTTGGGGCCCTGAGGCCTGGGTATGGAAGAGCCACCAGACGGGAGCCTCGTGTGTGAGTGGATTGCGAGAAAGTCTCAGGCGGGAGCCCCCTCCCTATGGGGCCCACAGCTCATGTGAGTAATCCGGTCGGGTCATCGGCTGTCGGCGCTCTTGGGTTCCTGGCGCCTGAATATGGAGGAAATATGAAGCGGGAGCCTCGTCTGTGAATGAGTTGCGAGGAGATCTCAAACGGGAGCCCCCTCCCTATGGGGTCCGCAGCTCATGTTCGAATCCGAGGCGGGTCATCGGCCTCCTGTAACTGTTTTCCCTTTTGGGCTCCTGAGGCCTAAACAAGGCGGAAGTATCAGGCGGGAGCCTCGTCTGTGAGCGAATGGCGAGGAAGTCTCAAGCGGGAGCCCTCTCCCTATGGGGTCCGCACTTCATGTTCGAATCCGAAGCGGGTCATCGGCCTCCTGTAACCGTCGTCCCTGTTGGGCTCCTGAGGCCTGAACATGGTGGAAGTACCAGGCGGGAGCCTCGTCTTTTCGTCTTTGCGTGAATGGCGAGGAAGTCTCAAGCGGGAGCCCTCTTCCGATGGGGCCAGCACTTCGTGTTCGAATCCGAGGCGGGTCATTGGCCTCCTGTAACCGTCGTCACTGTTGGGTTCCTGAGGCCTGAATATGGAGGAAGTATAGGGCGGGAGCCTCGTCTGTGAATGAAACGCGAGGAGGTGTCAGGCCAGAGCCCCCTCTCTGTGGGGCCCGCACACTACGTGCTTTCTCCGGGTCGCCCTCCGGCGCACGCTTCCCTCGGGGTCGTCCTTCCGCGCGTAGCCGCTGGGACGCACGTCGTGCGTTTCCCCCAGGTCGTGTTCCGCACGAGGATGAGGAGGAAGAGGAGTAGGAGTAGGAGTAGGAGTAGGAGGAGGAGGAGGAGGAGGAGGAGGATGCATGACGAGAAAGAAAAGGAGGAAGAGGAGGAGGAGGAGGAGGAGGCAGAGGGGGAACAGGACGATGAGGAGGAGGAGGAGTATGAGGAGGAGGAGGAATGCCCTACTGTCAAAAAGTATGATTAAGAAATTTATGAAGTAAGAAAGCTGGGCCAACTTTCCAGAAGTTCGTTAAGGAAACACTGGGCCAGCTTTTGGAGCCAGGAATGTACATGGTTCATTTGTGATACAAACAGCCGCTGCCGCAAGAAACGGTAGACGTACCCATACAAACATGTAGACCTGTGCAACCACCCGTGAAATAATGCGCGAATGCCGGAATACCGTTGTTTCGGAACGCGAATTGTTATTCTTCTGTGTGTTTAGCGGACCCACTTAAAATCAAGCTCCCCCATCCGAACAGGAATCGTTATTTTCTTTGTTCTTTTCTAAAACCGAACCAGCGCGAACTGGAACCGGAGGCTACCAATCCCCTTAAGAAACTGAGCCAGCTTTCCGGCAAGTTGGTCAAACAAACGCTGGGCCAGCTTTTCGGGGGGAGGTTTCTTAATCACAAGCGGGACCGTAGGAGGCCCCAGGAGGTCCTGGGAGGCCCAGAGAAGCTCCAGGATGCCCCAAGAGGCCCCAAGAGGCCCCAAGAGGAGGCAGGAGACCTAAGGAGGAGGAAGGAGGAGGGGGAGGAAGAGGAGGAGGAGGAGGAGGAGGAGGAGGAGGAGGGAAAACGAGGAGGAGGAAAAGGAGGACGAGGAGGAGTAGGTGGGAAAAGGGAGGGGGCAGGAAGATATCCCCAGGCAAGATAAACAGATTTTCATGCGGGGTCCTACCGTCGGAGTAAGTATGCTATTTCTTGTTTTGAACTCCTTGAAACGGATCAGACGACGAATGCGAGCGCGCGTCGTCGCGCGCGCATGCCAAATTCCTTCGCACGCTTTGATTGTGCACGGATTTCGAAGCCGAATGCCCCGAACACATGTTTCAAACTAGTGGCTTCATAACAGGAGCTGTCGAACAAGTCTGCGCTCGCGCTCTTGCGAATTCTCTGGAACACCTCAAGTTTCGTTTTTTTTTTTTTTTTGAAAAAAAAAACAAAAAAAAAGCAAACATGATCGGATGCTACCAAAGGTGCCTCTCGCGCGCACATGTCGCCTTTGCGAGCGTGCTGGGGATGGGGGGGGGGTGCACGATCCTTGTCGAACAAAACCATGCGAGCCACTCGCGTGCGTCGGACGCGCGCGCATGTCGAAATCCTGACAAAACCCTCATCGCCGACGCGAAAGCACCCTCATCGCCGCCGCGCGTCAGCGCGGCCTGCGAGTCGCGCTGGGGAGTTCCCAATGGTAAACGCCACCGCGGCCGCGTCGGTCGCGCCAGACTAGCTGGCCGTTCTTCGAGGGAGCCTGCGCGCGCTCGCGCGGCCGCAGCGATGCACCAGCCAGCGCCACGCAGTCATCACAATCGCCGCCGCATGGGTTTTGCAAACTAAGTTGCGGGCAGGTGGGTGGATGAATTGCGCGAGCATGGGGGGTGGTCACGCGCGAGGATGTCAAAGTCAATTGCGCAACATAAAAGGCACGAAATGTTTCTCACGACATCTATTGGTCCACCGATTCTGCCCGGCATATGTGGTACCTCATGAAGTGCACCACATATCTTCCACAGCATATCTTGCACACCATCGTTTGCTAATATTTAGCTCCCCCATATATATACACATGGCACAGCATATATTGCTAGAAACACGCGGTTTGGGGCCCACGCTGGCTAACATCAAAACGGACCGGCAGCTCTCCTACCTCATCTGCAGCAAGTCCAGGGTCCCGTCCGAGCCCACTGCCCCCTCTCTTCAAAATCACTGGAAGTGCTACAATGTGGAACTCAGCCTTAGGCTGAGGGGCATCAGCCGTCGATGCCAATGTGCATGCTCCGCCCACGCAGCTCCGCCCACGTAGCCCCACCTTTCCCTAAGCTTATCTTTTGAACGCGATGGAGCCGCATGTTGACGCTCACTTATGAGAGTGGGGAGCCCCACTGCAGGACTCAGACCAGAATGCAGGGACCAGAACCAGGAGCTGCCCTTCCTCACGGTCGGGGGGCAACGAAAGAACGCTGCTCTCTAAGAAACCATGTGGGGAACTCCTTCTGTTCAAACCGACGCCTCATCCTCCACCTCCTCCTCCTCCTCCTCCCTTCTCCCTCCTCCTCCTCCTCCTCCTCCCTCCTCCCTCTTCCCTCCTCCCTCCTCCCTCCTCCCTCCTCCCTCCTCCCTCCTCTTCCTCCGCCTCTTCCTCCTCCTCCTCCTCCTCTTCCTCCTACTCCTCCTCGTGCTGCCTGTCTCGCTTGGCCTGGTCCGCTCCTTCCCTCGGCGGCGCCGCGCGTGCCCCTCGTGCCTCCCACGAGCCCTGCCGTGCGCGGCCCCCCGCCCATGAGCTGGGCGCCCCAGGACGGCGCGGCGACAGACCGTGCGGTCGGTCCGCCACCGCACGGTTGCCTTAGGTCGGGCCTGTCCCCCTGCACGAGAAGCGTGGCAGATTTTTTCCAGCGCTATGTCGGAGAAGGGGGGGGGGAAGAGGCGAAAGGGAGAAAACGCACACACCTGATCGTAGTCCGACTCGTGCCGGGGGGTCGGCAGGCAACCCTGCCGCAGGACCGTCATCGCCCTTTCCTCCCGAGTGGGACCTGCAGGAAACCAGATGGCGGCTGAGAGTTGAAGAATGGTCAAAGAAAAGTCGGGGCACGATTTGTTGACTATGTCTTGAACGTGTCTACTTTTCCGCCCAAGATCCGCCAGTAGGAGGACATGCCCGACCTAACGGCTGCCAGAGATTTCCTCGGATAGCGACCCCAGTCCCAATACCGTGCGGTCACCCCGGATCCCCACTGACTCACCTCAAGGTGCTGTCACCGCACTGATGAGGGGCCCCCGAATCATGGCCCACCTCTGTCTCGGTGTCGCTTGCCCTCGGCCACCCAGACCACCGCCCCGCACATCGCCCAGGCTACCGCCGAACACTGCGTCGCCTCCGCCTGCGCAGTCCCTCACGCGCACTGTCGCACTTACTGTAAGCCCTGAATCAGCTGTAGTTCGGCCTGCCCGTCCGCGTCCATGTCGAAGTCGATTTTGGACCCGATGTCCACTCTATCATTGATGTCCGTTGCTCACTTGGCCTTTCGGACGCGATCGCGAGCGCATCACCATTGTCGTATATCACGAATTCGCAACGTTGTGCAGATCAGCCCGTGCTGCCGTAGAGCAGGCAAAACAGCCCTCGGACATAATCATCAAAACTCCCCTCGCACGGGGCGACACCAACATACATGTAGGATGCGTCGTCTTCATTCTTCTTTTAGTCATCCTCGCTCTCGCCTTGTTCCTCCTCCTCCCCAAGCTCGGCCAATCAGTCTCGCCCCCGTTGCTCCATCCATCCCTTCCCATCGCTTGTCATCCTCCCTCCATCCCTCCCATGCCCCATTCTCTTCTCCTCATGTTCCTCCTTCTTTCTTCTCATCATCATAGTTGTCTTTCTTTGGGGCCTCTAGCCTTCGCGTGGCAAACCTCGACGCTGAAATTAAAAACGCGCGCTGGATTTTGCAGCGATTGACCGTGAGAATTAATCAGCCAGAACATCTGATCGAGGACGGATTCCTAAGAGAAGGCGCCAAACATGGCGCGTTGATGTTCCGAAAGGCCAGGTCCAACTGTTTGGGGGCGTCTTGCCTCGCCACTGCAGCCGACCGAGCAAAGTCCGAATCTTCAGCCTGGCTCCTTTGGGCCACCGTGTTTCCAGTAGGCCGCCGGTATTTCGCCGCCGGGTTCCTGTCCAAGGCGTTCCTTTGCAAGCACATCGTCTTCGGCACCGCCTGATCCCGAGGCTTTGCCTCCTCCCGGCCTTGCCGTGAGGCCGCGTTCCTTCTGTCCCACCCTCTTCGTTAATTCAAGCTTCGCGCGGCTCGCTTCGCTTCGACGAGAAGAGGTGCGCTCTCGACCCGCGAATCAAAAACTGTTTGGGGGCGTCCTGCCTCGCCAGAGCAGCCGACCGAGCAAGGTCCGAGTCTGCAGCCTGGCTCCTTTGGGCCACCGTGTTTTTGCTTCTGCCGGTACTTCGCCACCGGGTTCCTGTCCAAGGCGTTCCTTTGCAAACACGTCGTTTTCGGCACCCCCTGATCCCGAGGCTTTGCCTCCTCCCGGCCTTGCCGTGAGGCCGCCCTCCTTCTGTCCCCCCCTCTTCGTTAATTCAAGTTTCGCGCGGCCCGCTTAGCTTCGACCAGAAGAGGTGCGCTCTCGACCCGCGAATCAAAAAAGTTTTCAGTTGGCCGTGCTGTATTCTCCATGTCCTACCTGCGGGGTTATTGCTGTTGTTACGGCGCCTCTGCCTCACTCGCCTCCCGCCTCCTTCGTCTTTCCTTCGTGCTCACACTCCCAGGCCCACTCCCAGTCACGGGCGTTCCCCGACTCACTCGTACTCAGGCTACTCACCCTCAGACCACTCTGACACGCTCAGACCACACACACACACACAGATCGACCGACACTCAGGCTCACTCATACTCATATTCAGACTCACTCACGCATAGACCACTCACACTCAGATCCATTTATACTCAGCCAAATCATACTTCTCCTTTCCCCGCTCCGCTGGCTCCTCCGCGTCATCGGCGTCCTTCTCCTCCTCATCCTGCCCCTGCTCCCACTCCTCCTCCTCCGGAAGACTCCCCGAGGTCCTCACTACAGGAAGTCTCTGGGGACAGGAAAAAGAAACAACACCGCCTCATAACTGGGATCCTCCATCCTCGATCTGCCTTCTCTCCCTTCTCCTCATCCTCCGCACCATTTCGTTTCCGAGAGCGAACTGATCGTGATGCACTTTGTCCGTAACCAGCGGCACGGCAAGTTCGGTCGGGCCCTTGGCGGACTCACTCAGAAGCTCGGGTGCAAGCATCGGGCCGGACGAAGGGGGGGTAACAAAAAGCGGGGTTAGCGAATCACTTCACGTAAATGGTTTTCCAGGCGCCTCCCGGCGCCAGAGGAAACCATCATGTATCGAGGATAGCGCCAGGCGGCGGGCCGAAACCAGCTGCACGCAACAGATTTCGCCCCCCCTTTCCCAATCCCCCCCCCCTTTGGTCCGATCCGAAAGGATCAGGCACACGCATTCTTCACTTGGACAGCTGTGCCAGTTGTAGAGCGCAAACAGGGGCCCGAACCCGACTTATAGGAAGGGTTGTGTTCATCAGTTGCAGAACCAGCCCAGGCTCCGCCTGGTCCTTCGACGATTCCTCACATGGATTACGGCTCGGGGAAGGTGCCCCCCCGAAACATGAGACCAATGCCGCCCGACTCGGCGACGGAACGCTCCGATTCGAACCGGAGCGGGGCCCGCCCCGAATCCACGCGCCCTCGTCAATGTTCTCGCCGCGGACGCGGCAAAACCCCACTCTTCATCCTCCTCCCCCTCCTCCTCCTCTGAATTCGCCGAAATCTCCATGCGTGTTCTTTTGTCTTCGCGTGCCGTCCCCGCCGGGAGCCTCTGGGGTCGGCGCCGAGCGAGGAGGAGGAAGAGGAGGAGGAGGCGGAGGAAGAAGAGGCGGAGGAGGAGGGGAGGAAAACGAGGACGAGGAGGAGAAGGAGAAGGAGGAGGAGGAGGAGGAGGAGGAGGAGGAGGAGGAAGAGTCGGGCTGTTGGGGTCGGGTGGGCGTGTTGGGGTCGGCGCCGAGCGAGCACGGGCTCGGGGCCACGGGTCCCAACCGCCTCTTGACGGCCGCTGGCGCTCTGCGCGGCGGAGTCCTTCCGGTTGCGCATCTCCTCCCCCTCGTGCTGCTGCTGCTGCTGTTCCACGCACACGGCGCCGATGCACCGACGACGTCGCCGATGCATCGCCGATGCGTCGGCGATGCGGCGCGATGCTCTGACCCCATCTACACGGATCCCGTCTGGGAGGCCTCGATCGTCCTCCTCCTCCTCCTGCTCCTCCTCCTCCTCCTCTTCCCCCTCCTCTTCCTGCCTCTTCTCCCTCCTCCTCCAGCCGCCTGCGCCCAGGTCTTGCGCGTCCCCGTGCGGTTTCTGGGATGTGCGTTTTCTCATACCCAGCGCCTCCTTTCCACCAACCCTCCATATAAGCACCTGCCTGCCCGCGGCGCCAAGCTCATCCATGCTCCTCTCTCCTGTGCAATTCAAAATGTGACGTCGATGGTGCAGCGTGGCAAAGCGGTGGGACTGACTGAGATGTGTTCTACCAAACGCATGTTGTTCTTGATTGGCACGGGACTAAGACGACGGTGTATTGACGGACGGCGCAACACCAGTGTGGACGAGCACGCACATGTGTTAAACTGGGAATGCGGTCGAGGAGTCGAGGACCCTTGGTTTCATCGCGCACTGGAATTCCATTCAAATTGCGAAAACAAAAACTTCGGCTACCACGCGTCAGTCAGGTCTACGCACCACCGCCCCGACTCCAAGGCCGATTGGGATCAGTTCGCATTCGCTAAGGACGTGCTACTTCACTATCTATGTTTGGTAGCCTATATTACTGATCGGCCACATGTGGCCAGAGGAACGGTACAACAACACAGCTTAGCGGATGGCCCAATGGATGGATTCAGCTTGTCGCTGTCAACCTAACAGCATGTCGGTTGGTTTTTGGAGGAGACCTCAATGAAAATGCAGGCATGCCCGCACCCAACATCATTTCTGGTGTACACAATCTTGCGGGGCCTCTGGGACAGCAGCGAAACCAGATGTATGGCGGATATGGGGGGTTCATGGGAACATGCAACGTGTGTATTGCGAAAACAGACGTGGGCGGAGATCACACATTTCACGGTAAAACAACGAGCATCATAATACAATGTGCAGGGATGCCGTATGCACAGCTGAGTACCACTCATAGTTACCAGATTCTCCATCGAGCATGGTGGAGCCATCAGATGGCGCCAGAACGACGAGCATGGGATCACCACCCGCTGCGGGCGATGGCTCGGTATATTCTGGGTTTTCCTCGTGCACGAGGCACCAGGAGAGCGCGGTGGAGCTCAGATCATTTGGTTCAAGGGGTTGTGGATGGCTTGTGGCGCAATAAGCTTCTCGGCGGCGTCGAGACCGAGTTTTTATGCATTCGCTGCGTGGAGGCAGCGCGAGGCCCGAGCGAGTCCCGATGTGGCGCGGCAGAATTTGGTGCTGGATGTACGGACATTAACACCTGTATTCTACAGCAATCATGACGGATCAACAATAACGAAAGTCACGTGAAGAAAAACCCGTTTTGGTCAAAATTCGAGCACAGAAGCGACACCAATTTGCGCAACACCAGCCTCGTGAAATGGACAGCCACGCACAATTACAGCATGCGCCATGGAGACTCTCCAAGGAGCCGAAGGAGGTCAACAAGCAGTGCCAAGTACATCGGATGGAGTACCTGGGAGAGCAAATAAAGCAAGCATGGGAAACACTAGCGAGCATTCCAAGCGCGAGAGCGAGCAGGCATAGCTCGAGGACAACATGCCCGACATGTCATGGTTGCGCCGGCGGTTGCACGGAGCGTTCGCGGCGCGGCCAAAGTTCCTGCGTCTCGGCGCAGCTGCCGGGGGGCTTGCGCGCCTGAGCTTTCGGCGCAACTAGGATTCACATCAGCTCGACTTAGTCGCGGGCAACGCCCGGGTAGCAAAGCAACGACGAGACGCATATATCAACGAGGTGCTCAAGTACCCAATTACCACTGATATCAACGCCGCGGGAAACATAAAGTTCGGGGCCCGGGGCGGGCAACGGGCGACGTGCCCCGGCGAGCCGACTGCGACGGCGACGGCGGGGACGAGGATGTTCTCCTTGGAGGGGGCGGGGGGCGCGGCCCAGAGGTCGCTGAAATCCTAAGGCTTGGCCGTGTTCTCGGGGTCCCCAGTGCCCCTCGCCGGGGGCCCTCTCTTGCAAGCGAACTTGAAGCGCTCGCGAACGCAGCCTCGGCGCCCCCCGGGGCCGCCCTCGACGGGCGAGCGCGCGGCGCGCGCCTGGGCTGCCGCGCGGGCCTTCTCGAAGGTCTCGTGCTGTGGCCCCCGCGCGGTCGGGTGCTTCGGCGGCTGGGCCTTGCCCTTGCTTTGGGCGTTGGCCTTGGCAGCGCGCGTGTCGCTCGAGCCCCGAAGCTTCTGGATCCACTCGTTGCCTCGATCGCGCG